TCTACTTATAATATGCTCACACTATCAGCAACAGAACAGCTTTCAGGAATGTGGAATTCTAAGTAAAACCTAACGTAGAGATTTTTGCATTGCAATGAAAATCCCAGGAAAGCTGCATTAGTAAATTGGAAAAATGAACCGCGAAAACTTTTGATTTCCCACTGCAACATTTCTTACCCAAAAGAAAGAGGATTCTTGACAATATCACCTTGCTTAGTTGCTGGCTGGGGCTAAACCACAACACCTGCTTAGAACTTTAACTTTGTAGAAAAGTATTCTAACCTTCAGCTCACGAGCAGCAATTTCATTGCAGCTCTATTAGATTGTATCTGACTGCTTTGGAAGCAATCATGATCTTCTCTCAGCCTCACAATCTGAGGCACAGAACAAAGTGGGGGGGGGGACAAAACAGGCCAGCTTGTCAGTAATTCTTTACTGATACCACATGAAACATTTGGAATTTGCTTTAGCTGTGATGCAAAGTTTAGTGAAGCATGCGGTGTGGGAGATTCTGTCAGAATACTGAACAACAGGAAAACTCTTGCCTTTACCAGGAAAAAACAAAGCCACAGAAATAAGAATCCTTTGAAAGTATGTCTAAGAATTTGGACATTGAATAGAAATTGCAAGTAGGAAAAAAAAAGAGGTATTATAAAAGAACAGGCCTACACATGTAGATTTAAGTTTGAATGGTGAGTCTCTGGCTTAATACCTAATTAAAATGGCACACAGACCATCCTTTTAAGCAAGGAGATGTATTTTACAAACATTGCCTATTTGAAACTCAGCTATTACACCATCTATTTATCAATGCCCAAATAAGCAATTTGTCCCACCTCTGTTAAAAGAGTGGCACTCTCTAAGAAAGTCTATTTTTAAGCTCACTGCATGGATTACTACAAATCTCCATTAGAACATACCTGAAACTTTACTTTTTTTCTTGGAATATTACCAAAGACACGCATTTGCTCCAGAATGTTCCGCACTTTGGGGCTTATGTTTGGCTTCTTCATTACTTCATGAATTTTCTGAATGAAGAAAATCAGCATTAAATCAGCAAAGAAGCATAATGATCAAATGATACATGCAAGGCATGCAAGTCAGAAACACACTGGACAGAAATCACCCAGTACCCACAGACTGTATAGCCTGCTCGAAACTCTTAAATATGCATGGGAAAAACACTAACTTTTGGTTTTATCATAGATTGTAAGATGCATTGAAGTTATCTATATAAATATTTATACCTATATAGTAAGCAGAGGCAAGCAGGACTGCTAACCAATGCTTTCTGATGTATGAGTTACCACCTGTAAAAAAACATTTAAAAGTAAAGTAACTGTATCACATAGGGGATTCTTGCAGCATGAAAAAGACCTGCATCAAGAAAAGCAGTTGTAAACTGATTGGTTTTTGCAAACTTCTAGAATTAATTGTGAAAAATCAGGCTACCTTTCAGGCCACAGTTTGACATGCATTTCTTTTGGTAGCAGTGCCAGCTTCAACAACCATTAATCCCCTAAGACTTCTTTAAGAAAGGAATAAAGGACAGAAAAAATATCATTATGACACAGAGTGAATCTATGGTTCACCCATATCTTTAACAGTGTATGCAGTTCTTGTAACCTCCTTTCACAAGGACACAGTACAACTGGGAAGACTTCAGAGAACCGTATGAAGAACTGAGCAGGGTAGGACTTTTCAGCCTGCAACAGAGACTACGAGATGAGGAGAGATGCTGACAGAGGTCTACGAAAGTGTATGTGGCATGAAGAGTGTGGACAATGATCAATGCCTCTTTGTATGCAAGAACTAGGGAACATCAAACCAAACTAGTAGGAAACAGATTTGAAACAAACAGAAGGTGTGTTTCTTACCAGGATAAGCGATAGACCTATCAAGGAATTGCCAAAAGAAAGCTGTGGGTATTGGGAAAGAGATCTCTCTGGTTTGATCCAGTATAGCCTCTCTTGTGTCTTTAACGATTACAAACAATAGTTATTTATCATATCTGTATATAGTACAAACCTTACCTGAATCCACTCCTGTTGTTTAGCACCTTCTTTGTTAGTTTTGGCTTCAAAATCTTTTCCACCGTATTTCTGGTCTTCACTTACACACTTCACATGTTCCTTATAATCGTCACCCCTGAACACAGGAGAGTTTTAACTGTAGTTCACTAAACCATTTCAGTCCTTCAAACTATGCAGGACTCATGTAATCAACGCACTGAAGTAACAGATGCTAGCATCTAACATTTAAACCTTAATACTGTCAATGCTTACATGAGTAAAGTATGACGTGCTTAAGGTACATACTTATAAAACTGCTGACATTTCTGTCACACTACAGCCTTCAGCGAACATTTCTGATTTGCAAAATCAGATCTGAGTCCTCAGTATACCACTGCTTTTATTAATGACTCTATAACTTAAGGCATTTCTACATGTAACATATGCACAGCTATTAATGCGCATCTGTGTTTTAATACTCACATTGAGTAGTAATTTTAAATTAGAAAAACAGCTGAAAAATGCTTGCAAAAACCTAATTCCTAAACATAGACATACTAATGTGGTAGTGTAGTTCTGACCAATGTGTAAGTGACAACCAAACTCAGAATTTTTGATGTTATTGCCAATCTCACTCTCTGCAGTAGCAGAATAAGTAACAGTTGTTGATGATCAGAAGCTGAAAGCAGTGTCACTTATAACTGTAAAAGAAGCAACTGCAATTGTTTACTGCGTGGTTTAGTTGTTCTTGCAGTTCAAACTTGGATGATTAAGCTTGAAATTATATAAAAATATGTGTAACTTTTAAATACAAATAGGAATTATTCAGAAATTGCCAAATTTAATTCTAATACACCATAGGAAATTGCCAAATTTAATTCTAATACACCACAGGAAAATTTTGTATTTGTGACGACCGCTGCAGAGCAAGCAAGGCTATTTCCCATCCTTTACCTACCAGAAATCCTTGCCGCAATCCATGCAAGAAAGGCACTGACAGTTTCTGCAGATATTCACATGTTTTTCAACTTGTGCTTTCTTCACAGATTCTCCACACGCATTGCATGTGAAAACTACCATGTTGGCGAGCGGTCAGTAGCTTCTACGAAAGGGGCACAACCTTTTTCCTCCCCACGCAAGCACAGCCCTAGAAGTACAGGGAGGAGATCTGACATTTACAGTTTGAAAGAAGCACATGGACGGCCGAAAAGAAACGCAACCGTGCGTCCACCAACAGAAAACCTACGCAGTTTGACTCTGCACCTGCAAAAAAGCCCAGAAGGAAAATCTCGTTTCGCCTGACACCTCGAGCGCAAGGGAAACTCGTAACCCCCGAACTAGCAACCCCCGTACCCCCCACC